CTGGAGCAGGAAGGACTTATCCTGGATAGAGGAGGATCAGGTTGAGGAACATTTAAACAAGACAGGACAGGTCCCTGAGGCCTGATAGGATGCCCCCATAAGTGCTGAGGGAGCTGAATGATGTCATATTGATGCCACTCTTGATTATCTTTGAAAGATTGCTGTGATTGGGGAGGTTTCTGAGGACTAGAAGAAAGCAAATTTCACTCCTGTTTTAATGAAGGGCAAGAAGAAGGATCTGGGAAAATAAGTCAGCCTGACTTCAATCCCTGAGAAGATGATGGGGGAAATCATCTTGAAAACTGGTTTTGATCATATTAAGAATGAGAAGTGACTGTAAATAGTCAGTATGGATTTGAGAAGGTAAGGTTGTGCCTGAACAATCTGATAGGCTTGTGCAGTGAGATGACTAGCTCGGTGGATGAGAGGAGATGAGTGGATGTTGTTTATCTTGACTTCATCAAGGCTTCTGACATTGTCTCTTGTCCTCATTCACAAACTCATGAAGTGTGGTCCGGATAAATGGACAGTGAGGCAGTTTGCAAACTGGCTGATCTGCCAGGCTCAAAGGGTTGTGATCAGTGGCACAAAGCGTAGCTGGAGACCAGTCAGTGGTGGTATACACCACTGGTCGATACTGGAGCCAGTAATATCTTCATTAATGATCCAGATGATGTGGCAGAGTGTACCCTTAGCAAGTTTGCAGATGATACAAGCCAGGGAGGAGTGGCTGATGCATCAGAGGGTTCCTCTGCCATCCAGAGGGACCTTGGCAGGCAGGAGAAGTGGGTGGACAGTAACTTCATGAAATGCAACAAAAGGAAATGCAAATTCCTGCATCTGGGCAGGAATAACCCCATACAGCACTACACAATGGAGGCCAACTGGCTGGAAAACGGCTTTGTAGGAAAGGACCTGGGGGTCCTGGTGGACACCAAGTTAAACATGAGCCAGTAATATGCCATTTTAACAAAGGTGGCCAGCAACATCCTGTGCTGCATCTAGAAGGGTGTTGTAAACAGGTTGAGGGAGGTCATCCTTCCCCTTTACTCAGCCCTAGTGAGTGGCTACATCTGGAGTGCTGGGTCCAGTTCTGGGCTCCCCAGCACCACAGAGACGTAGACATACCAGCACAAATTCAGTGAAGGGCCACTAGGGCGATTAAGGGACTGGAGCATCTCTCATCTGAGGAGAGAGTGAGAGAGCTGGGACTGGTTAGCTAGGAGAAGAGAAGGCTCAGGAGGATCTTACCAATGTGTATAAAATACATGAAGAGGACAGGTAAAGAAGGTGAAGCTAGGCTCTTTTTAGTGATACCCAGTGAAAGAGAGGCACAAATTGAAATACAAGAAATTCCATTTAATCATAAAAGCTTTTTTACTGTGAGGACAGGCAAACGCCAGAGCAGATAGCCAAACAAGCTGTTGAATCAGTCACCCTTGGAGATACTCAAAACCCAACGGGAAGTGGCCCTGAACAATCTGCTAAGTGACCGGCTTTGAAGAGGGGAGTTGGACTAGGGGATCTCCAGAGGTCACTTCCCACCTCGACTATTCTGTGTTTCTGTGATAAACTAAAGAAAGACTTTCACAGGAATCACATTAGCTGTGTAGAGGAGCCAGGAACAGACAGCTCGAAGCCAGCTGTGGAAGAAGTGGAGTTGATGGTGACTATGCTGATGAAGTTTTTAATTGTTTTTCCCTTGATTTTAGGTAACTGTAATATTTTTCACTTTGGAAATGTAGTTTGACCTATGTTCAGTGCCAAAAACCTGTTTCGGATTCTTAGATTAAAATCCTTTGAAGGTATATTCCCTAAATTTATTTCTGATATTCCCTGAAACAATATTGCAAACCAAATAAAATTAATAAACCAAAGGAAAATGTTGATATAAGAAGCATTTAATGTAAACTCATTAAGTGAAGGGAAAGTGTGAAATTCTGCCTTTCACTTGAAAAACTACCATTCTTTTTGAGGTAAATCTCAGTCTGAAGCCACTGTGATTTTTTTATTGTAGATTTTGTCACATTGGTAGTGCCTTGCTATTGTGCTTGTACCTTTTAGAAGCAGAGGGAGGCAGAAGGTGAATGCTGTGTGTCAGAAACAATGAAGGACACAGTGGAGTGGGATAGAAATTAACATTCCTGAACTATCTGTTTCTTTGGTTTGACAGCTGCTTTGTGAACAAATGGCACCATGGAGCTTGAATTACATTACGCATGAGGACCTTTGTAATGTTCTTCCAGAAAGAGTGATCAGACACAGGAATGGGTTGCCCAGGGATGTTGTAGAATCTTCATCCTTGGAGATATCCATGATAACCCTGGAGAATGCCTGGACAAGACAGTGTAACTTCAGAGCTTGACCCTGCTTTGGGTGCTGCATTGGACCAGATAACCTCCAGGAGCCTTTCCAACCTGAGTTACTCTATAATTTTATGAAAATGTTACATAAGCAAATGTGTTTCCAGGCCTTAATAATTCCCTATGACTGTAAACAGGAAGGCAAAGTAAATACCTGCTTTTTGCATATCGTAAAGGCAACTTAGCTCCCCCCTTCCAAGGCCCTATAGCTGGAGGCTTGTTGGAACCAGTGTTATGGTTTTACCCTTTGCATATAAACGTATTTTTAGAATTAGGCACAAAATTCAGAGACTGTGAGACTGGAGTGCTTATTCACACTTGTTTGGATTTGAAGTGTGCTGCTATCTGAAAAACTTTTGGTTTATAGTCGAAACAAATCGGTTATAAGTATTAATGAAAAGTCAGAAAGTCTTCATACAAAAAAAATCACCATCCATATCAACAGATGAAAATGGAGAGAGCACACTTTATAAGGATTCCTTAAGAGGAAGAAGGAAAATGGAGTACTTTCTTGTTCTTTCGAGTGATTCTAGTTTTGTCGTGATGGACCTAGCTTTTGGCCACACTTTCAGAATCCTGGGCTATTTTACATTGCTGTAAAATACGTAGAAGTTATTTGTCATAAATGAGAAACCATTTCTGATAGGTAAATATTTTTTCCAAGGACTAAATCTCCAGTATGTTAGAAAAGCCTTTGTTTGAGGAAGAAGCACACGCAGACTAGACTAAAGAGCGAAGTGTATGAAGAGAATTCCCTCACCTACATATAATGTAATTAGAGGACTTTTTGGAAATGTTCTCTTAAAAGATTATAATTTTAATGGTGATTAGAACTAATTATCAGTGCTGAATTACTTTTTCTGAGTCTGGGGGGTGGGGTTGTAGAATACTTCTTTTCTGTAGAAATTGCTTATGTGGACAAGCTGTTATGTTTGTTGTTGTCACAGTGCTGTGACAGGACCTCCCAAACCCAAGAATGGCAATATGTCTCTTTCTTAACTTGCTGCTAGTGAGAGACAGGTTTCAGGGTAGGGAGTATGGGTTGGGTCAACTATTTTTATTACTGAAAGTAGAGATGTGAAGTTGATGATATGAATAAAGCTACTGCTTTCTTTAAGGAATAATAGCTGTGCCAGTGCATAGGAAAGTATTCAATTTCTTGCTTTATCTTTCTTTTGGTGCCTTTCAGACATCTTCAGCAAAACAACCCTGCCATTGTATTTGGAAATTTTTCTGTAGGAAGGAAAAAAAAAAAAAGAGGAAAACAATGTGGTGGTGATCATTGCTTTTCTTTCAGTGCCCAGAAAATATTTGGCTATTACAGTGTTGGAGAAGAGCTCTCTATTCTGTGTTATGTTTTTGGAAGAGAACTCCTCATCTTCTACAACAATTTCAATACTTGATCTTTAAAAAGAGGCTGGAAGTACATTGTCCATGTCCCTCACTCTCTGCCATCTGACTGTTTATTGTGCCAAAAACCTGAGCTATGCCAGCAGCTTTCAGACGAGAGACTTTACAATCTTTCTTCCTCCGTGCCGCTTTCCTGTGGGACAGGAGTTGTCTCCCAGACATGGCCTCCACTGGCTTTCGGCTCTCCTTAGGTTTAACCTTCTCAAGACTCAAACCAAGAGGAGAGCAGAGCTGGGCTGTTGGGCTGAAGTATAGTAGAGCTCATTACAGAGCCCTGCAAATGTGGGTGAAGAGCTGGTTGGCACACAGGAGCTGCTGTCAGAGTTACTGATGGCCTTGCTGAGGAACAGTCCCTGTATCTGCGTGTTAGGTCTTGTTCTGTGAGAAAATAGATGTTTTATCCCTAACTACTGCTGTATATTACATAAAATTGATGGTTAAAATTTGTAACTTGTACTGTTGTTTTCTTGTCATGACTTCTTTCTAGGTATCACTGCCCAGTGCCTAAAATTTTCTATGTCCAGTTAACTGTTGGCAACAGTGAGTTTTTTGGTGAAGGAAAGACTCGTCAAGCTGCTAGACATAACGCTGCAATGAAGGCCCTTCAAGCTCTCCAGAATGAGCCTATTCCAGAAAAATTACCTCAGGTTTGTGTTTCAGAAAACTGTTCGTAATCTTCACATTAAGATACCAAATCACATTATTTAATTCAATGTTTAATTTTTAGTGGGTTTTTTCATATTAGCTTCAGTAATTAGAGGAGTAGTACTTACAACTTGTTAGTGTTATTTCTTTATAAGAGCACACCTAACACGGAACTAGACTTAAATAACAAAAATAAGTAGGCATTTTAAAGATGGGATTGTCAACAGTGATTAAGTAAAAAATAAAATTAAAATAAAATGAAATATTTGAGATTATACCAAAAATGGAGAAAATGTCCATTGACTCAGCACTTCGTGGAGAATTAATTATTAATTTTAAATGTGTGTTGTGCTGTGTATGTGATCTTGATAGTTGAGGTGACCTGTCCCAAAGGTATGTAAGAGCTCAGTGACAGCTACTGATCACTGTCTGATGGTTTTAGGCTTTTAGCCACTTACTACCTGTTAAAATAGCTCCTTTATCACTGCTATGTGAAGTCTTAGAGGAATCCCTGTTTCCTTTCTCATTGTTTATTCCATTCCTTTCTCTTTTGGTTTCCAGTCAAATGTATTGGTTGATAATGAATCCTTAGCACAAACCTGAGTGGGCATCTTGTATTGTTGAAATGTATTTTTAGCTCAGCGTATTCTTAGTTTTTGAAAATGACATGGTTTTTATTATATTTTATCAGAAGAATCTTTGAATTCAAGGTATCCATTAATCAGAATGGAAAATAAGCCATTAAGTAGTAGACAGGAGTAAACAATATGTATAAGTAACATCGATCTGTACCTGGTTTGTATACTCAAGTCCAGTCAGCTATGAGGAACATAGGGAAGACTTGTCAGAAGGCAACGCTGTAGATAAGCTGAGCCATTCTCATAGTACCTGCAAGACCTGTGGGAGCACTGTGGGTGTCTGATGCAGCAGTTGAAGACCACCTGGGATACTGCAGGATCTCAATAGCAGCTGTCTGTGGGTAGGAGACTAAAACTCATAGTTTCCTGACAAGTCCTCAGTTAGGAAGACCTCTGTGGCTTGGTTATGCTGAGGGTAAAGGGAGCTGGTTGCGGGCTAGCCATGAAGAAACGTCTCTGTTATTGCATTGGTTAGAGTTGTAGGTGACTGGAGAAGGCTGGAGGTAACACTCTGCCTAGGTCATGATGGATGAAGTACAAAGAGCTGAATCATGTGGAGCTAAATATAGCTCTCTGGAGAACTGGAGGTTGGTTGAAATAGTTTAAGGGCTTCATGATGCCAGGGTTCAGGTTTCTTCCTGCTGCTGGTCACGTGAAGTGCACGCAGGGCTGCTATGCAGTGGTGGGATGTGCCTTCACCATGGGACATGGTCCAGCTCAGTAAAACTCATCTTCGTTCAGCAGAACTGACCTGCTTGGGTCAGCCGTGGAAGGTGGTTGATTTGCCATTCCTCAAACATCATGCGTGGATCAGAGCCAGTACATGTTAGAATCTGGCTGGCCTCCATTACATGACTAGATCAAGCTTCTTCCCTGATTGCTGCCACTGTGCTTCCAAGGAGAGCAGAAAGGGCAGCAGGGACAGACTTGCTGGTACCGATCTAGTCCTGCATCCCATTAGTAACTCAGTGAACTTCACTGGGATGGGATCCATGGAATAGAGCACAGCAGATACGTGGGTTTACCTTCTGGCCTTCATGACCGTGTTTGCTTAATGCAGCCTTCTATATGGTCTTCTTTCTTTTCGAGTTACTCTTTTTTTTAAAAAAAAAAGTTAAGGATAAAATCTTTTATCCGCATAAAACCACTGAAGAGGAGTATTGCCATCCTAATACTTTGTGGCACAAATGTGTGGAAGAGCATAAGGTGAGCAGAAACAAGAAGCAATCAGCAAACAGGGCAGGGTACAGGTGACTGTGAACCTGCTTCCATAAAAGAGCTATTGTGTGTCTGCCAAAGCACCGCTGCACTCTCATAGATGTGAGTCTAAGGCAGGCCTTACGATTAAAGCAACAGTTGTGGAATGAGGATCAGATTTAAATCCAAAGTACTTGAGACACTCATGAACGTATTTTATCTTCCTTAGGGAAGTCATATGACTAAGACTTGGAACTTTATTGCTCAGTACTAAGGTCTGAGCCTTGAAGTCTATGATCCTCCCTGATCTCCACTCATGGTTAGGTTTTCTGCTGTGTTTGGTGGGAAAACATGCAAGGAGTTAAATTGTAAGGGCAGAAGGGACAATCAGGGATTTTCTGGACCAATGTGTTTGTATTAATCATGACATTTTAAATAGTAATTTCTACATTAGACTCTACATATCTAGTTAAGCTAGAGTATAGCTAGAAAACCTAAACATTCTTGATGTAAGGGCCTGATGGCAGTCCAGTGGGCTTTATATTATTTTGTGTAAATTATGCCACTGACTGATTATTCCCCACTTCAAAGATAATTTGCAAGGTATTTCTTCTAAATTCACATAGCTCCATTTTCTATCTAATTGATGTATTCTTATCTTCACTAAATGTAACAGATATCAAAAATCTCTGCCCCATATACGTTTACAGATTATACTTAAGTAATTTTGAATCTTTATAGAACTGATAATTTCCTTAGGGTCTCAGTGTAAAGTTGTTTTTCTAATCAGTAGTTCATCCTTTATAAAACACAAACTTAATTGAATACAGTACTTGTAAGATTCTCACTAAGGTTTTTTATAGACTAGAAGTACGCTACTCTTTATGTTTGATACTCTTTATATCCCTGAAATATATTTTTACTTTGAAATATTGTCCTTTTAACTCAGTTCAGTTGATCTTTCCCAGTGAACCTAATCAATGCTTTGCCTGTCCTGTGAATAATGACCTAGATCATGATTTCAGTGGTATTTTATGTTTCATTATATGAAATGAGTTACAGGTCCTACACAGTTTCATTTTAATTACACTTGTTACTGCTTTGCACTCAGGATTTTTTTGCAGCTGGTTCTATCAACTTGGTAAATTTTTATTTTGTATTTAGCACCAGACCAACGTCAGGGATCTAAACTGCTTTTTCAGACTCAAAATTTTGCAACTGTTTAATCAGACAAAAAGTGCTCCAAGTCTGCATGCTGTAGCTGACTGCTGGATTTTTGGTCCTGCATTATCTTAAAGATTAATGTATTAAGGGTTAACACATGGTAGATAAAAGATTGAGAAATTTGTTAACGTGAAGAACCTAGTGTTTTTTAAATGTTATTTTATAGCTTCGGTATCTGCACTTTGTAGCTATGCTGGTGGCTGAAGATTTAGATCAGACTTTGTTATGTAAGATGGTAACTCTGCAGGGATCCACCTAATTCAGCCCAAGTTCCTTTGATGTTTACCTCCACTCATAAAAAATTAGGAGCCCGGCCAAGGTTACATGGTTGTTGAGAGATCCCAGTTTGAAACATTCAGAGATTTGCAGTTTGAAAGTAGCTGAAAGTGAAACCTCTGAGAACTGAGGAAGATGTGGCCTGGGGGACGATCACCAGCAGGCAGTGGCCGCAGAACACGATAATTCTTTGACTGATCCCCGTGCTGGTTCTTGTCTGAGAAAAATAAGACTTACCTGAAGTGTAAAGCAAAGCTGAATTTTAGGCAGGATGATGTTTGCATGTGCCTTTTGTTGTTTTATCTCTTAGCCTCTATGTTTCTTATGTTCCTATGGATAAATAAATAATGTTCTGTGTTGAGCAAGCTGTTCTCTGTCACTATCTTTTCACACTGGTCATACTCCCAGAGGGAAGTCAATGGAGGGGCTGTTAACCAGCAGGACCTGCTGTGGACACCTGCAACCTGGTGACCCAGGCAAAGTGTGGGGGTGATTCACTGAATCTCTTCTGAGCGACAGAAGACTTCTTCCTTGCGTGGAAGGGGTACCCACAGAGAGACTGAGAAACAGGTCAAAGGATCTGTTTGATCCTCGTGTTTGACACAAGAATTGTGTATTCAGATGGTTATTATCCGTGTCAGGACTAAAATTCATAGAAGTTATTTTGCGATCTATCATTAATTTATAAATTAATGTGTATGTGTTCCTTTATTATGACGCATAAGTACATTATATATGGTTTTCTGTCAGCAGGTGTCTGATAATGTGGTGCTGAGATGGGTGTACAAATGCTGATCTAGAGCATGACAGGAGAACTCAAAAGCCTTTGAGAAATTGGGGGAGAAGCATATATTTTTTGATCTTCTAAAAATTGTAATATGAATATATATTCTTCATTTTCAGAATGGAGAAATGGGAAAAGAATCAGAAGAAGATAAAGATGCAAACAAGTCTGAAATCAGTGTAGTGTTTGAAATTGCTTTGAAGCGCAATATACCTGTTAGTTTTGAGGTATGTGTTACATATTTATCTGTTTGCTAAGAAAGTATTAAAAAAAATGCCACTAAAACTCAACACAGTTAATAATATTAATACAATATGAATAAGACATTTGAATTCATGCAAATTATAAATAAAAAATTAGTGGTGTATCAGAGTCTAAGACACTGCATTTTTACTATTAAATTAGATGTTCTTTCAGAAGTATTAAAGACCTAATATTTGGTTGCAAACAAGTGGATGGCAGAACTACAGTTCAAGCATCTTCTGCCTAGTGCTGTGGGATTAGAATCAGTAGATACACTCGATTTGAAACAGTCAGCCACAGGCTTTGCTCTAGCTGTAGGCATTCATACACTACAAAAGATCCCATTGAGATCCAGTGTGCTGTTTTCAGAAAGTCATGAGTATCTTTTTATCTTCCATGGTGTTTGACTCCTTATCTATCTCTGCTTAAGTTTTTATGATTTTTTTTCCTCGTTTCATATGATTTTATCTATGAACGTGCTTCTGAGACCTTTTTTTACCTTAAGTAATAAAGAATATTCGGAATAGCTCCAATGCTGTTGATGAACTAATTATGGGAGAACGAGTGACAGTAACTGAAAAAAATTTCCAATGAGAAAGTTCTTTTTTACAAACTGGTTATAAAAATCTGAAATTATTGTGGTAGGAACCACCAGACTTTCAAGCTTTGTTTTTTCTGTTTGTTTGTTTGTTTGTTTGTTTTAAATACAGAAAATGCTAATGTAAGTGGCTCTTTAAACTTTTATTTTTCTGCTTTTTGTTTTACATTTAAACTGAGTATATATGAAGGACGTGGGTAGTGGTGTTGTTTATTTTCTCCAGTGCTTTTTCCTTTTGAAGTGTAGGAATATATTTGCATGTCAAAAAAAAAAAAATTATGCTGTGTCATGCCTTACAGTGTGCTGTAAGCAGTTTACTGACAGGTTAGATAATTCATGGATATGGACCAAATGTCAAATGAGCTATTTGGGCCACCTTAGAAATCTGAGAAATCTCTCAGAAGGTAGGTGAGAGAGCCAAAGACAAAGAATACTGTTTTTAACGAAAGAACTCCTCAGTATAACAAACGCGTATGTCCTTCGTACATATGGTCTATCTAATATGGACTGATTAGAAAGTTAAGAGAATGTAAAATCTCGAGGGTAAAACTGGGGTGTCTGGGGGTGTTAGTGTATCAACTTGCAGTTACATGGGAAGAAGATAACAGATACAAGATCAGACATAATGGAAACACATGTCTGTGCTTCAAAAAGGAAGCTCATAGTTAACATTTCGATTTTCACACATCATTTTCTGCCTTGAGTATTTAACAGTATTTGGACTAGTTCCATACAAATCAATACACTAAAATACAAGGAGATGTATGGTCATGGGTCACCGAATAGCTTGGAGGTTGGAATGAAAAGAGTGATAATGCTTTGAATGTCTTAACTTCATTCCTGTGTTTCAGCTTATTTAAGGGAGAGCATTTGGTAAGGAGAGAATGAAGGCAGAGATACGTAGTACAGAAAGAGTCTGATGTGTCACTTGCTAAAGAATGTTAACAACATTGACAAAAGAGAGTTTCTTCTTCTCCTGATAGGTTTTGTGTTATTTCTTGCCTTTAAATCCTAAGTATAGGTGGCGTTCTTAAATAAAGTTTTGATTGAACTTGGTACTGGCTTATATTTCAGTAAAACTGCTAAGCAGTTGTGGGTGATCCCCAGGATCTGATGTTTCTAACAGGATTTTATTTACAAACCTTTTTGTGTTGTTCCATGCAGGCGTCAAAACTTTCTCCAGCTTTTTTTGTGTGTGCGGTAGCTATAAAATGATTTGCCTTTTCTTCATCTGATGAAGCTTTAGCCAATGTTCCAACAGTGCTATGTTATGCAACGAAGTAATGGTCATAAAGATCTGTAAAGTTCTATGTAAACATGTCCTTGGAACTGCACGAGGGGTGGAAAAGAAGAAGAGCGTGCAGAACCCCATGGGTTTCTTCTGTTTCATGTAATATGGCTAGTTTTAATTGCCTAGGAACTTTAGGATGAGTTTTAAGGAATATTAAATCATTAACTGAAACAAAAGCATTCAATTCTAACAAAGAGCAAGCTTTACTCCATACTTGTCGCCAGTGCATCCTTAGCTAACCTTTATTCAAAGGTTAGCTAAGTCAAAATGCAACTCCTCTAAGGTGTTTGTGGGACTCTCAATGAACAATTTTTAAGGAGGGATACAAAACTGTTGCTGTGGGAATTGTTAGAAAAGCTGTTAAATGGTCACTTTACTTTGTATTCCTTCCTTGACAGTAGGCTAAAATCTTGCTTTTCTTCTTTTGCAACATATATGTTTTTTGTTTCTGACTCGTCGGTAAGGAGTTGGGTGGGCCTAGAAGACACAACATATGAGAACACATTGGGGTGTTTCAGATTGTAATTTTATTTTCAGTATTTTTCTTTGGATTGGAGTGTTCTTTCTTTAGTACAGCAAATACAATAATATATTTTTTCATTCTCAGCATCAGGAGTAAGGGAATAGAGTGCCCGAACAGGCAAATTTTTCCCCCTCCATCCCCTTCCAGTGTTCTGCTGCAAAAAAGAGTTCCCGTTTCTCATGTCTTATCACAGTGAGGCAGAGATTTTATATTTTGAAGCAGGAACAGGCTGAACTGCTGACTCTGGAAGACTGAGCAAGTTCTTAGCAGGAAGTTTCACACCCGTCTGGCTCCTGCTCTCCTGGGGATTAAGGCTTTCAGATTGGATGATTGACACACTGAGTAGCGCTCGTTCAGGCTTTGCACAATGGTCACCCTTCCTCACTCCAGTCTTAATAAAACATCCAGACCTTTTTTTTTTTTGCTGGACTGGGAAAATCTGCTATGTCTGCCTGCACAAGCACATGGAAATATATTGGTATTTTAAAAATTCTAAATAATCATGGATGTAGGTGACATGTTTTTATCGACCTACTTTTTGTCTCCTCTATTATTTTTTTTGATGTCCATTTAATCTTGTAAGCTTTTGGATTTTCTACCTGGAGTCTCATTAATAATTGAAGCAGCGTTGCTCTTTCGCTGTAATCGTACTGCTGTTTTTCATTTGTCAGCATGATTCATTAAGTTGAGCCAAATTCACTCTTGATGTAACTTGACCTTAAATGTGTTTTGGCCCCATGTGTTTTCTCTTGCTGGAGTTATTCTTTAAATCAGTGGAACAGAAAAAGAAAAGTGTATTGAACTGTCACCCTTAATCAAATTCTCAGCTTTAAATTAGCCATGATTTGGTCCACGGGTTGTATCTTTCAACCGAGGAAATAGTTTAATGTACTAATGCATATAGTGTTCTTGGATAGCAAAGGCTAAATTTCTTTTTGGTGTTTTCTGTCCCAAGGCTTATAGCACAACTGTTTGAAATCATGTGGAGTAAAATGATCTAAAATCTGGGGTTAACCAAAAATGTTGTTAGGTAAATATTTTTTTTGCGAAATTACCAAATTTGGATGTTTAGCTTGATCCAGATCCCATCTGAATCCTATGGGGTTCATTCCATTGACATCACAGACTTCTTTTCATTTACACACCAACAAAGAAGCAGTTTTGAATGTCTTCCAGGCAATCATTTACCTTGTGTAACATACTTAAAAGTTTAAAAGATGAAAACCACACCAGAATACATTAGGTATATATTAAGAAATATATTTTCATGTATATGAAAATATAATCTGGTTTTGTATGAGCATTCTTTTTCATATATATATATTTCTGTGTATTTATATATATATGAGAAAACTTACGTAAAACTAATATTTTAGGAACTTAGGCATTATATTTGTTAAGCAAATTGTTTTGTCCTTTTTTCATCTGGTCAGTATAGACATTCTTGTGTATTTTATTAATACGTTATATTGCATGTAAGTAGAAATACCTATATAATGGTATTAATTAGTAAGACCACAAAAAGATTAAGGATCTTAGTAAGGTTAATTTAGCCATGTTTTATAGCCAACGTGCTGTAACACTTAGATAGCAATGTACAGGGATGGATTAAGATAAACCTTTAAAACAGAGTGGGAAACACTGCAGTGCAATGAAGGTGCTCAGCACTGACACGAAGCCCAACTGTGCCTGAGAGCAGGAGACCCAAGTGCAGGGCTCATCCCAGCTCTGGTGCAGGCAGTGCAGCTCCCTGGGGCTCGGCAGTGCCTCAAAAGCACCACTGCCTTCTCACGTAGTGGGCAACTTTCAAGTGAGGCAAGCTTGAAAACACTTCTGAAATTATTGCCTTGAATCTTAGAGTGGGAACACTCCTGGACTGCAGCAGAAAAATCCCATGTTGGCACAGATGTTGTCTTATTCTGGGAAAATGCGGACAAAGTTTTCTGTTAATTTTCATTTTGTGTCCTTTTATTGATATATGCTGTGATAATTGGATTTGCTGGGTGAAGTTGCCACAAAAGAAAGCTTAAAAAAGAAATACAAGCCTAAGGAGACCTCATTACAGTGTAACAGCAAAACTAAATAATGCAAGGGACATGACCTTGATAAAAAGAACTTTAATACAAAACATGCTGTAATAATATTAAAGTTGAAGGTTTCAGCCTGTTAAAAATACAGTTATTACACCAAGAAGGCCCTAGCACCTTTACCTCAGTTCCCTTGCACTCAGGCATTACACTTCTTCAACAAATGGTTTGAAGTAATTGCACCTACTGAAAAAATATGTATTTGTATTGATTTTGAAGATAATACAAAGAGGTGCCTGTCAGATGCCCTAGTGTCTCCTTATATACATTACATGTAACAAAGATTAAATTAGGTAGCTGCTTCCGCCCATCAAACAAAATAACTGAACCTTTTCCCAAGTGAGGTCTCTTAATTCCTGATAGACATTGTCCAGACCAGTAAGTGCTGCACACACGAAGAGATGGTTATCTTAGCACTTGCATGATGTGATTTGTTTGCATCCTAACAGTATAGCCTTCTAAAAGGAGATGCGTGGAAAAATGAAGACAGAAAAAGAGCTAAAGCAAGGTGTAGCATTCAGAACTTCATTTTTTTCCATTTTATTGTAACTTTTAATAGTGGAGAAGAACTTCAAATGAGTTTTCTCATTGTCATTCTGAATGTTTGGAAAAGAATGAATAAATGGAAACTTTTCAGAACTGATAGGCTTTTGTGAGAGTTATGGTGGCTCTTTGGATAATTCCTTTTGGTACTGTTGGGAGGGACAGCTGAGAATCGTGGAGGCAAGACTGTGGCAGCCTTTCAAATGTACAGGGTATCGCTCTGAGTTGTGTACTCTGGCAAGGTAAGAATTGAGAGCAGGCATGCTGCTTGCAGCTGGGACAGCGTAAAAATACGGACCTTTAAGACTGAAGTTTGGGACCGTGCATGAACATCCTAAGTTTTAATGATAATAGGAAAAAATTGCCAATAGGTTGAAGTGATGTCTTGTAACTATAGTTTTGAATATGTTTTATGTAAAGAAATAGCCAAAGCCTGGTGGACCTTCATGAATTGAATTTCTTTAGTACATGAAGCACCTTTCAAGGAAGAAACCAGCATCATTGGTTTAAATATGCATTATTGATGTGTATTGTGTTATTGTATAAATCTTTTTGAAAATATAGGTCCACTGTATTTTCTGTGAAACACTGAATATGATAGTTAGATTTTCTTTTTCTCATTAGCCTTAATTTTTTGTCCTCAAACCTGTTACTGTCATTAATACTTGTCCAGATTTTATGAAAACCCATCTAATGCCTTCAGTTAGCAGGAAAACTGCATTAGTAGGAAGTACATTGCAGAGATACAAACATTAAGGTATATTCTTATAGGGTGACTCAGTGTTACTTTTGTTTAAAAGGTGATTAAAGAAAGTGGACCTCCTCACATGAAGAGCTTTGTTACACGAGTTACAGTAGGTGAATTCACTGCAGAAGGAGAAGGCAACAGTAAGAAACTCTCAAAGAAACGTGCAGCAATGTCTGTCCTACAAGAACTTAAGAAACTTCCTCCTCTTCCTGTGGTTGAAAAGCCAAAACTTTACTTTAAAAAACGTCCAAAAACAATATTGAAGGTATGTGTCCACCTTTGACAGAATTAAGAATGTTTGCTCAGAAAGTAACAGAGTTACTCGGATTTAAAATCAGCAGAGGTTTATTTGTCATTCTCTTGTCAATATTGTTACTTGTTTGCCTGTGATAATATGCCTGTGCTTTTGTAAATTCTGAGAAAGCTGTGAAATTCTCAAACGTAATGGCTTGTAAGGTGCTTGGCTTAACAACAGAGCTCACATCACTGAAGTCTTCAGGGATTTGATTCAAGTCTAGTGGAGGATCAAAGCCTCCAAGCAACTGTGTACAGCCATGTGAGTTTTTAGCATCATCTCCTCTGGGAGGCCCTACTAGCAAATGTGGTGGTTCTCTCCCTGGTCTTTCCTCCCTCCCCAGTTTGAAGAGGGAGAGAGATATATGGAATAGTAAATATGTGGCAAATGGTACACAGTCCAGCTTCCTACCTTCATGGAGCTAGATTTGGGAGTTTTGTGGCTTCAGCTTCAATTTGATTTTTGCTAGATTTGAAAGAAGGCCAAGGGTGTGTTGACATCTCGGCCTAATCTGCCACTTGTCAAACACCAAAGGACAATGAGTTTCTTGTTCCATGTGTCTGTGTTAAGGTTAGCGTGTGTTTGATAATGCTCTTTAGCTCTCAAGTACAGATAGGGAATTAACTGGAGACCAGCCCATGAAGGACTTGCAGACTTTGAACCATCCCTCCGTTAACACATGCCCTGTCTCAGAGGGTTTTAGTATGATTCTTGCTGCACTGCTGGGGCTTCCTTTAGAGACTCTGGATTCTTGTGAGCTCAAGCTTCTTAAATGGTGCTTTTATTCTTGGTGGCAGTAGATTTATTGCTACTTCTACAATTCAGTCAGTCTATGGTGACTAACCCTGGTTTGTCTACTCATCTTCAATTAATACAAAACCAAAGGGTCATCTGAAGTAATTAGTCTTCCAGATGATCTAACAAAAGCAGCCACATAGCGTCCTACATATGAAGCATCACTACCTAGTTTTAGCACTGAACAACTAATCAGATTAACTTGTCATCTTTTCAGGCCAGAAGACGAGGCTTTGGAAGTGGCCAAAATCTACTACATCTCATTTTATTTTAGGAATTATTATTTTGTGAGGAAGTAGTTAAACTCTTTGTACATGATTTTCTGTTGTCTGGTGTGTGGGATAGTCATTTAGGTATACGTGAGGGCACATTAATAGCCTTTCATACTCATTTTAGGTCGGTGTAAATAACGGTGGAGAGTTGCACACTTTCTCTCTGGTGTTACAGAGTCACCTTTGCCCCATACCATGCAGATCAAGAACCTTGAGACTAGAATTGCAGGAAAACCAAGGAAATCTTCATGTCCAAAACCTGTGCTTCAGAATATAGTTTCAGGACCTAAATTTCATGTCTTTTTCTTTATTTGCCTCTTGTTAGTTAAAAAAAAAATAGAAGATCTTCAGTTTTTTTGAATTGTGTTATGTCCACGGCTTGCATTACATTGGGCTGGACGGTGTTATACCAGTATGGCTTGAACTCAGTCCTCAGTGAGTGTTACACTGATAGGCTGTAAAAATAAGTAAATCAGTACTTACTGTACTAAAAGTATGACCATTAGAAATCTGTATACTCAGTACACCGAGTGCAGAGTTCTGTAGGAGCAACCAACAGAAAATGCCATTTAAAATGTGCAAATACTTTGCAGAGTGCAAAACTGGGTTTGGAAAATATACAAAGGACTTACTTCATCTTCCTCTCTTCATTTGCCTTCAAAACAGAATGAGTGATTTTTTTAAAAAATAGGTTAATTAGATACCTGTCTCCTACTGAAATTCTAGGGATATAGTTCTCAAAACTAGGAAAAAATAAGCATTAAAAATTATTAATGGAAAACAGTCAGCATTAATGCATCTTTAAAGCTGCAAGATCTGAGAAGGCTATTGTCTTTGGCTGTCTCCTATTCGAAAGTTTTTCTCAAGAAAGATGCTAAGTATATAATAATGTAAAAATCTCTTGTATCACTATATAACATTTACCATTACAATCTTAAATTGAATTATCCATAGTTGGCCATGTTAGAAAGAGACATTAATAGTCAAAATAACCTGGATAGGTAGAAGGTTTATAGTTTTGGAATATCCAGACTTGTGAGATGCTTTCAGTGTGCCCATTTCTTTTAATTTAACCTGCACGTGTTTTGAGCATCAAAAAAAGTGACAACGATAACTTTTTTTAAATTTATATATATATTTATGAGGCTATCTCTTATGGACTGCACTTTATTTAGCCTGCTCTGCATTTTGTCTCTGCCTGGCTTCTTGCCCACACAGCTGCCCCTGTGCATGACATGATCTTACTTCTTTCACCTACATCCTCTCTAACATCTTCAGCAGTTACACTATGTAGGATTCACTGCACAGCTTGCTTAATATAATATCCTGCCCTGGTCTTTGTCTTCAGTTACTGATCATCTCTTTAGTTTCTGGATGACTTGTTTTTTCTCATTTGAGAAGCTCAAACAAGCTCATCTTTTCTTGTCCTGCGAATGGCTTCATGTAAAGGAAGTAGCTCAATAACAAAAACAGTTCTACATTCAAATGCCATTTACATTTGTGAGTTCATTCTTTGTGTTTTTGGTATATAAATCAGTTAAATATGTCTTTAGTTAAATTTTTGGGGGGGTCCTTAATTTCTTCTCTTTAAAATCGACAAACAAATATTTTCATAGCTATTTGCTTTGAGAGAGCATTTGCCATGTGAGTAATAAAATTTTAAAAGGATTTTGGAACTAGATAGTTTGTAAGGACTGTAGTTTTTTACCTGTCTGTGTAATCTTGGGCAGACCAGTCTCTCAGTCCTTTTTGTTTTCCCCCATCAGCTCAATTCCCCCATCAACCGTATATTTTGATATGTTATTGTGAGGATTATTGTCTGCATTTGAAATACTTTGTGGATGACTCACAGTATGCAACATTTCTAGCCGTTGGAGATATTCCCCTCTAGCTTCACTGTGTAAAGGTATTTTGAGGGTGAATTCCTGTGACATAGAAACAGAGTAAACCTTCTACACCTTTGGTTGCGTTGCAGGATGGAAGGCAGGAGCGCTGAGAAGGAAGGCAGGAAGGCTGAGAGGGGCGCCTTCCTTGTATATGGCAAATCTTTTTTTGTCCTTGTGTAAATCCTGCCTCTTCTTGGTGTATTGCATGTTCCAACATTATACCAACCTATTTTAAGGGGTTAGGGAGAAGGGTCTTAGAAATAGGGCAATGAAATATAATTGACTGATGGATCCGCTCATTTTCGTCCATCCTCATAGGACCTTCACAGATAGATGAGGGTATTAGTAGCTTACAGGTGCTAGGTATGCACACAGCCTGCAGCAGTGGCAGACAATGGGTATATATTTTTTGCCACAGTTTGAGCTTGAGGATTCTTATCCTCTCTCTCTCATGATCAGAAGATGGGAAGAAAATTTACTTCCTATTCTCTCAAAGGGAGTATTAAAGAAGACGTAACCCTAGTAAACAATTCATTGAAGCAACATAATAATTGTGTGGATATATGCTGAAATAATGGTTCTTTCTTTTAAACCTGTGTTAGACTGGACCAGAATATGGTCAAGGAATGAATCCCATCAGTCGCCTGGCTCAGATCCAACAGGCCAAGAAGGAGAAGGAGCCAGAGTATGTTCTTCTTTCAGAGAGAGGAATGCCTCGCCGTCGAGAGTTTGTTATGCAGGTATCATCTGCTGTCACGTTAGAGATAATGACCTTGCTATGTTGTGTTCAAACATAAGCAAAATGGTGGCATAATATGAAGCAGATCCCTCTGTGTGTAGCTTTTTGCTTTACCATCAGTTGTACAAGAAGAGTATGAAATACAGTGTCAGAAAGCCTGTTTGAACCTTCATCTTCTTTCTCTTGATGAAAGAAATGGCAATTAAGTTATGTGCCTTTTAGGTGCTTTTCTTGTAGTCGTTTTGCATTTTTTTTATACTTTTCTAATTTTTATTTCACCTGATGGTTTCTGTCTTTATCCCCGAGGGTTCATCATTTATTTACTTTTACTTATCTTCATGAAAAAAAATATTCTGCTACTGTTGATCAGAGGATTCCATTACAAACTAGTATTCTGAAATATGGTTATGAATATCTCCATATTACCAAGAATTTTGGTTTAAAAAAATAGCGTTGTAAGTCTTTTCAGATTTTTCAGTTTCTTTGTGGCTTTGTTCATATTTGAAATACCACAAGAAAAGCCTTCCATCATGTGTTTAGCCTCTCCAGTTAAAGTCACTGGACCTAATAGAGAAACAGTAGATCATTAATGTTTCTTTAATTTTTAAATTAAGAACATTTACAAAGATTTGATATAACTGTGATATTTTGTTAGATAACACAACAGCAGGTTGAGAAAGATTAGGAACAGGAAAGAATTATTTTCTCTTGTGTTTTCACTCAGGGGTAATTTTGTGCTGGAACAATTCGGAACAGCATACCTCAACATATTTTGACTTCTTGTCTACAAACCACACCAAAATGTCACTTCTGATCACAAGCAGAATTTATGACATTCCAGCACCTCCTTCTCCAGAATATTAGTTATGTTTTCACTTAAAGATTTAAGTCCCTCCTACATGTCTGTCAAGATAGGCTAGCAATCTTAATTTCCTTGGACCTCAGTGGTCTTTCTTGATGATTTATTAGTTTTCTCTCTGAAGCAAAAGAAGATACAGGGTTTCTTTTGTTGCAGAATATGATTTATGAATATAAACTTGGATTTCGAACTTTTTATGCTACCTGAAAGCATTTGAAAAAGTGTGATCCTATCACCAACAATCCCTTTTCCCATGCTCAGACCCCTGTGGGAGCGCCAATAGTTAGAGATGGTTGTGTGACGTGTCAGAAGACGACTGTGTAACACAGTCCAGCATTAGAAAGATGGGCTGAGAATTTGGTTTTCTGTTGGAGGAGTCTCAATAATGGCAAAATCTTTGGTTTGAATAAAAAAGGAATCTTAAAAGCAGTGAATACATAGAAGATTCCCTTATCTAAGAAGACTTGTGAAAGAAAATCTTGAAGAAATTTCATAGAACAGTTGCTTTGTTGTGAATACTTTTAAACACTGTAGCTCCATTTTTCTCCTTTTGTGATATTTTCACAAAAAAACCTTACTGCAGTTTCTCCCGCCTTCAGGAAGTCTCAGTGGATTCATTATGACATGCAAAAAACCTTATCAGAATAAAAAGCTTTTGTATAAACTACTTAAACAATGTTTTCATTTAATTTAATTGAATGTGGAAGTAAAATATCCAGAGATAATATGTTCATTTTTATCTGTCACACAAGGAGCAAGTTTAGATGTGATGAAATGGATCCAATTACTTGTCCTGACTACTAGATAAACAGAAGAAAACCTCTGATGACATTAGTTGGTGTTCTGTTCCCAAAGTTAATTTCAGAAAGCTCTTTCTCTTTGTAGTCAGACCTTTAATCCTTGATAGAGGTTATAATAATAGCTAAACCAGTTTTACAGGTCTGAGAAATAGCAGTGCATTGATTTATTGTGAGCTATGTTATAAATTATCCTTTTGTCTTGTCCCATTAAAGTCCCTCAATTTTATTGCATATAAACTTGTAGCAGATTGGCTATTTTCTGATTGTGATTGCGGAACTGCATAGGAGATAAGGTTTATATTGCAAGATTATTAGTATTTCTGGTTTACATAGCTGCATCTTTCTGTTTAATTATATATATACTTTGAAGGGACATTTACGATAGTTATTTATTTACATCCTTTTCTTTGTATTTAGAATTAATAGGTATTTGAGTAAAGAAAAATGAAAACTTTTAGGAAAATATATACATGATAATTTGAGGAAAGCGAATAGTTATTGAATAACATAAATTACTAAATGATATTTATTATTTATTTAAAGATTGTTTGCATGTTTTTACAGTTTTTTTAAAGCTTCTTCCAGACTGTTTCAGCTCTTTGACCTCTAAGGTTTCTTTTATTCAGATCACCTTGGATATTTTATTATTTTTATTTTATTTTGGTTTCCTTTTTTTTAACAGACTTTTGAAACGATACACTATTTTAAGAGAAAATTTGGCAAATGAAATGACTTAATGGCTAGAGTGAAATATGCCTAGCAAAGAGCTAAGAATATTGCGTAAGTGAAGAGCAATGACAGTGCTAATATCACAAACCAGACACATACAGTTTCAGGACTTTAAGAATGGTACCAGAGCCAAGGAATAAGTTACAGCCTTACTCTTTGAGGCTATCCATTGTCTATAATTTATGAAAGTCATCTTGTTTGTCAGAAATTCTTTGTGCAGTACAGACCACAGGCCCAATAAGGAGCCTTCTTTCCAAAGACTATTTTGATAAAAGCTTGTCAGGTGTAAGTGCAGAAGAAGAAAGCAGCCCCAGCCTCCATGTTGCTTGCAGTGCAACAAAGTGAGAGGAATGTGAACATGGTTTTCATCTTTCTTTAGAAACCACTCTCATTTAAATCTTCAGGTCATTGTTTGTGTCTCTGTTGTTCTGGATATTGTCCCAATGGTGCTGGAGAGCTGCTGCAGACAACGCTTCTACCAGAAAGAGGAAGTGTAGAACCTGTAGCTCTTCCCCCATTAAGAAAGAGTGGGGGAGATGTTCAGCGAGGAGAATGGGGTTGACACACAGGCTGCGGGAAGAGAGACCCAACTGTGTGTGCAGTGAGATACAGAAAGATGTAGCTCTTTGGTACGAGTTTGGGGACCTTATGAAAAATCTAAACAATCTCCTCTGTGTGAAGCAGTATTGTAGTCCCCTTTTGCACTATTCTTACTTTTTCAAGATTGCACCTTCATGGAGAGAGCTGACAGTTGTTTGTAGGTCAGCAAGATTATTACGTGGTAATATTCAGGAGTCTTGCATTTATTGTGATTATGATCAATGTTTTCTTTTTAAGGTAAAAGTAGGCAATGAGATTACTACTGGAACAGGCCCAAACAAGAAAATAGCTAAAAGAAATGCAGCAGAAGCAATGTTGCTACAGCTGGGTTACAAAGCTTCTACTCCTCTTCAAGACCAGCCAGAAAAGGTGAGAACCAATTGTTATGATGCCCGCATTTTACACGTGTCTAGATTTTTAGCTGTATCAGCTGATCACTTAGTAAGAATGGAAGCTTAAGCTTGGGCACCCCCTGCTTTAGAGGATTCGTTGCTGGAGATCAGCCTTTGTTTAGCTACAGCTTTTTAGCTACACTCAGTAGTAAGTGCAGCCTCTCCTCCTGTAAGAGTAATTAAGAACAGAAATGTGGTTCTGTAGGATACTGTGTGTGCAGAAGTGTCCATGTGATGTGTTCGCTTATTTCTACCTGCAAACCAGGATGAAAGTGCCTCTTCCTTTTATTCCATTTTGGGCATCCATGAGAGCACTGAGAGGAATTATGTTAGTAATTTTCAAGTAGCCGTAGTAGTCAATGTTTGTCTTCCTGTTGCATATGCACTAAAAGCATTGCAGAAAAATAATGGCCTTTTCAGGTTTGATGACTGAGAAAGAAAAAGTGTGTCATTTTTTTTGTGGAGAAGAAGTTACATTTTAAATTCATATGTGTGGCAGGTATGTATTTCCATATTAGTGATGTACAACTTAGTGCTACTCTCCTGCCTTGAGTTTATTGATGGGAGGTTTTGTAACCAAAATTGGGTAACATTTTGTCTTTTGTATTCTGAAAATATATTTGGTAAGGTATTTGGCTAAGCTGTGGGCCCCGTACAGCTTCTGTCATATGCAGAGTCACTGCATGTATATATTTTGATCATGGCTTAAATGTTTGCTGTGGCTCCACCAGGTAGCTCAGGTCAACAGAATGTTCTGCTGGGCTTTTCTAGGGACCACATGATAAATCTGAATGTGGCATATATCTATATGTATCTTCTGAAACACCCGTTCTTTTCCTTTAAAAAAAAATATATATGTATACACAGATACTCTGTTCTATACTTTCTATACTCCTAGCCAGGAAAAGATAAATGCTGTACTGGTTACTTGGCTCCATCTCCTTCTGTTTCCCTCTGCTTTGAGAGGAGCAGCTCTGTGTATGTTATTCACACTCACCTTCACTGCGTTCTTCACTTTATATGTTAGTCATATACGAGTGTGCAATACTTTGAAGAGAGTACTTTGAAGCTAGGTGGTGTTCCTAGTGAGAACACACTGTGCAGCCATAACCATTTAAAAGGCTCATGACAAAATCAAATGATAATTTTTTTTTCACCAGAATGCTGAGACTTTTCTGCTGTAGAAGATACTTTCTACCAGTTTCAACTTTTTCTCGCTGCCAATTTGGCCAAAGGGCTTTTTGAAAAACAAAGCGAAACAGAAAAGTCAAGTGTTTTTTTTCCTAATAGGAAAACACAGGTTTTTCATTCTTGGATTTCAAATTGACTGAGCTATTTTTACTCAATAATTTTCAGAGATAAAGCCTGAAAAAATTCAGCCCACAACATAGTGGCTTTGGAGAGCTCTATACAGTGGAAACTTGTGGTTACATTGAAATCCTTAAAAAAAAAATAGAGTGGCTAAAAAGGTGTGCTACTGCTTCGTTTCCCTATGTTTATTAAACTATTGCTTACAAGTGCATTGTCTTTAAAAAACGAGGCTTACTTACGTACTTGCAGATGTAAATATTTTAGAACTGATAGAGTAGAGTACAATGGCCTAATATTATTCTGAACACAACAAGCAAACATGATACTGTATCCAAAAAATGTGGACTACTCAAATTTTCTGTAGTGGCAGTATTCAAGATCATAGAACAAATTTTAATAGCTTCGTTGGCATTAAGGACATAAAATATCTGGAACATCTGGCTTTATCTTCTGTATGTAACAGACTGAACATGTTTGCAGATACAGAAGTTAGTTTGTGTAGATGAAAGCATTTTAATTCTCAAACTAAACTGCTGAAGAAGAGGGAAAACAGCCCTTAGATCTCTACCAATTTCAGCATTGCAAAATTCCTTCCATATAAATTGCACAATAAAGAGGTACCATTAGAAGATACTTGTTTCTGTCTTTGAATCCAAAATGGGGCCCAGCTTAGATTAGCTGACAAATTGGGTTGGCGTCCAAATGGACAATTTTCACTTGTGTTGTTTTTGATGATTTTAAAAAAAGCAACTTCTCTTCCTGACCCACACCCCTTCCCAAGTATTTTCATCCCCTGCCTCCTCCCTTAAAAAAAAAGGCAAACCCAAGTTCAGTGTTTTTTTCCTTAACCCCAGTGCATAAAATATGACTGTATTAATTGTTTTAATGAAGACCTAAGCGTGTTACAGGAGCCAGGCATGGTGCTGATGGCAGCACAGGTAAACAGGTAATACAGGTAATGTAAAAAAGTAAAGGCTCTGCTCTTTTCCAAGATAATCCAGTTCCTGGAAGAAATCAGTAATGGTTGAGCAGAACCCTGAGGAAAGCAATTTGAAAGTGCCCTGGGAGACTTTTTGCAGCTATCAGAATTTTAGCTCTATGGATGAGAATGGAGAGTTGTAATGTCTTCATTATTTCATGTTTACATCTTTTTGTTTCTTCTTGCCATGTTTTTCTCTTGGAGAGAAGAAAACCAGAGTAGATTGCATTCATGTGAGACAGCAGCACTAAGGATAACTTACTGCTAGATGAATTCTTGTTAAATTCCCCATCATGATTAAGTTAATAAACAGTGAAAAGAGAGGAATGAGGAGAGTTGGAAATGCTCTTCTCATATTGTACCAGCATGCTCGTGCTGGTTTTCCTATCATGTTAGGGATGGACAGTATGGATTTGTGACAAAACCATGCTGTTGTAACAGACAATAAATACAAACATATTTATAGATTACATATTGCTTATTCATTTGAAGAACTGTCATAATGTATGTTGGAAAACATGGAAGATGTGCTTTATAATATGACTAAAAGGAGTTAGGTGAAACTAAAGTGCTTGGAGGTGGGTGACCAGTTGGGGAGCCAGCTCTAACACCTACCCTCCCTGTCCTCTATGTATCTCCCATTTTTATTGCACATTGCCTAGGCTGTAAGCACATTGGGATGTATGTAATGAGGAAAAGCAGGGAAAGAAATAATTGGAATAGCTGCTTTGCATAGTGTGCGCTTCTCTCCTCTTTCCCAAGGAAAACATAACACCTAGTAGCCTGCATTACAATGTGATAGTAATCTAAACAGCCTTAATACAACCTCTGAGATGCAGAGGCAGATTTCAGCTGGCCGATCCTCCTTCACCTGTGTTCCTCTTTCCAGTCAACCCCATCTTCCAGAGCAAACAATTACAACTTTGGCATGGTATATAGTCTGCTTTGCTGCAAGGTTTTTTGTTTGCCCACAAAATCCCAGTGAAATCTGAAAAGGATCATTTGTTTCACATTCATAGAGCTGGTTGTCAATAGCTTCCAGTTTATGAGGAAGCCTGAACTTGTTTATCCACATTTACACAGAAATCTACAACGCTGTCATCTTATTTACTGTGTAGACTTCAGGAACGGCCTCAGTTTGAACTTCTGTGTTAGTTGCTCCCCTTTTCTGTGTCAAAGCAATACTGGGTGTTAATAAAATTAATTTGAAGACAATTAGCTTCCTCAAAAAAGTCTATATATTGAAATAATGGAAAATTGCAATCTTTTTTTGCTTCTACTTCAGTAACTGAATGGATTCCTAGCAAGTAAATATTTTAAAATTACACCCAAAGTACTTTGTAGCGTTTATGCATTCTTTCGTAGTCAGATATTAGGATATTCTTGTTGTAGAATGTAATTTCTCTGTTGTCTGTGTATGTTTTCAGTTGAGATCTGCTTGAAACATTTGATTTTAAGTCTGATTTGGTAACATATTAAGTTGAGCCTGATCCTTGGGGAAGCATTTATATTTCAATGTCAGGCAATAGTTGTTAATGTTTATTCATGAAGGATACATGCCTCAAATAACTTATTTTAGACAAAAATAAAGATGTGTTAGCAAAGTTTTGTGAGCAAATGTGGCAATCCCAGGTCATCCTCTTTAGAATCTTTCAAATCAATTTATAAACATGAATGTTCTGTTTAAGGAGTAGTTTGCAGTTTACTTATTTGTCTTTTTCCACCTGTTTCAGCTTGGAGAAAACAAGAGTTGGAATGGCCAGAATGTTGGGTTTCCTGAGCCAACAAGTAACAGTGAGTATTGCTTTCTAAATTCATATTTATACTTACATATCTTGGTTTCTGTAGGATTTGTATTTGTAAAAATATTTTTGTAAACATTTTAGGGGTTTTATTGCAATTAGATGAATTAACTCTTGAGTGTCCACTATGTGAGTATAGGTATGAATGAGTGAAGGAACAAGGAATTTCCTCATTGAATCATTGAATCCTTCATTGTAAGGCATTTTAGAAGGTCATCTAAACTGCCTGCTCTAAGCAGGGTCAGTACAGAGTTCAGACAAGGTTGCTTATGTCTTTTTCCCAGTTCTCCAAGGGTGGAGATTCCATAGCTTCTCTAGGCAGCTTATTTCTATGCTTTATTATCTTCACATCGATTGTTTTTCTTTTGTATCCCAGTCAGAACATCTCTTGTTTGTTTATGCTATCATCTCCTGTTTCTTCTGCTACATACCTCAGTAATGTGCCTGGCTCCATCTTTTTGGCAACCTTTTCTTAGGTATTGGAAGGTTTCTATTAGGTAAAATAAAGCATACCACTGTCCTCTAAGCCTGATCATCCAAAAAGGTTTTCAACATCTAGTAATTCACCTACGTAGACTCCAACATGACAGTTTGGATACAAGAATGCTGTGGGAGACTTGATGTCAGAAACCTTGCTAAAGCCAAGGTAAATTACATCCACTGCTCTCCTGTCATGCATACATCCAGTAATTTTATCATAAAAGGCGATCAGGTTATTGAGCCTGGTTTTTATCCTTGGGTAAATTCATTCTGATTGTTCCCAATGGCTTTTTTCTCCTTTGTGTGACCAAAAATGGCTTTAAGAGGACTTCCTGCATGATTTTCCCAGGGACTGAAGTGAGGCTGACCAGCCTGCCTTTTTTAATGATGATGATGCCTTTCTCCAGGCGTTGGAGACCTCTCCTGACCTCCATGACTTTTTGAAGATAATAGAGAGTGGCCTCACAATGACATAAGCTGGTTGACTCAGCACACTGAGAGATATCCCATTTGGTCAAATGGACTTGTATGGGCTCAGAATTTCTCAAGACATCCCTGACTCTGATCAGGTTCTGCTGCTGGTAGTTTCTTTCTTCCATGAGCCATGTCTATAGACACAGAGCCCTGAGAGACCTTGTTGGTGAAGCATTTTCACTGCAACGGATAAAGAATAGGACAGACCTTTGTGACTTTATAACTAGATTTTTGCTGTTTAGAGTGGAAAAGATAATATAAATAGTACTTCTTCACTTTTCTGTGAGCCCTGGATTCTTCTCTAGAGCTGTGTTGGGTTTTGAACTTGTTAAGAATCCCAAACACTATCTCCATCAACTAAGGATTATACTAGAGACAGACACACACATGGGCTACCTTCCGTTTTTTGCCTGTATACATCTGAAGGACGTGATCCTAAAAGCAGATTTAAGGGGGTTCAGTAGCGTTCTAGTGTATATGCAGTCTTCCCACTCACTAGACCTGGAGAATAATTTGTCCTTCAGCTTACGCAAGAGTTTGCTAATATTTAAAGTGATCTTGGATTCAGCACACGCCATTGTGTTTCTCTGAAAGGAAGGATTCTACAGGATCTAAGACTTCTTATTAATTACTTTCTTCCAGTCCTATCATCAATCGCCATCAATACTTCTTGATATTTTCTGTTTGCATTGTCAAAATCTCTAAGGACATGGTCTGTGAAACATCTCCAAAAATTCACATCTTCAGATGTTAACATATTGGAGTTTGGGACAGCAGAATAAGACCTCTAGCTTTTCTCTCCTATCCTTGCAGTGTCTTGTAACAAAGGTATTTATAGGTGACATCACAACCATCTACTACACCAAGAAAAAAACATCTCTTTCCCAGGCTTCATCTGGCAAGAAAACTCTGGCAGTTACAAATGTAAATCCAAATCTAGAAAGAGAACAGAAAGGCAAACTCACTCAACAGGAAACAAGATCAACAAAAATTGTATTTTAAACCTGTGCTGGCCAAAGAACTTACTTTTCACAGAATGGCCTGCTCGCAGGCCTTTTTGTGGCCAGCACAGGCAATGGTACAGAAATGGGTTTTCATTCTGGGATGCTTTTCTAATGCACGACACTTCTAGATGCCTTCATTTCCCTTCCTCTGATCTCCAAGTAAATTTGAAATCAAAGGAGGTGTAGATGTCATGTCAAAAGACATAGACCATTTATTTCTGCCAGTGCTGTTCAGAGACCACTGTGCTTAATCCCTTAACTCCTTTTTTGAGGGTTCCCATCTAGAGGCAACATTAATGATAATCAGCTGATTAAAGTATCATTTTTTGTTTTGGAGGAACTATGTGCAAAATAGGAAGGGTCGGAACCCAAAATGTTATCAACAGACATATATTTTTTAACTCTTCGCCTCATAAAGGGCCTTTCTCTTCTAGGGTATTTTCTTTAAAATTTACAGCTGAACTGTGGTTTCCATATAGACGTATAAGAGGAGAATGAATATGTTACAGCTACGTAGAGGACAGACCAGTCTTTCTTCACCATAAAGTCTCACCCAGAATTCATGGAAGACCTACAGATGCAATTTTCTTTAAATGTACTGATGTGGTACCACCGCTGGCTGAATTAATTGCTAATAGATCTTCCTTCTGAGGTTCTCATTGAAACCTCTCTTGGTATTTCTAAACTAAAATGGCCTTTCTGATAGAATTATGAATCTGCTGTATCGATTGGCACTCTATTAAAGTGTATTTTTATATAGAAAAACTGTAGTAGTTTCCGTACTGTAGATCTTTCAACATATAAATATCATACTATTTATTTGTAATGTATAGGGAGGAACCTGGATAGAAAATGTATAGAACGTTTTTGTATGTTTTGGTAACCAGTAAGTTCAGTTGATACCTTCCTACTGAACATACTATGAAGAGGCTGTTTTCAGGCCTGAGGACAGGGGATTGCCGCATCTGGAGAAGAGCTGTACAGTATCACTTGGTATTTCTCACCAGTTTTCCAAAGTCATGTTTACTTGTTGAAATGCTGCACTAGTAGGGGGCTGATCTGCCAGTACACGTTTATCTATGAGCACTTTGCCTGCTCTGCTTCTGCTAGAATATTATGTGTTAGTTTCCCACACAGGAAATGCATAAAAAATCC